CGCTACTCACTCTTGTCTGTTCTATTCGGATATCGGCGCTTTTGAAAGTTGAGAATCAAGCTTGAACACGAGCGCTACTCGCTCTTGTCTGTTCCATTCGGGTATCTGCGCTTTTGGAAGTTGAGGATCAAACTTGAACATGTATGTTATTTGCTCTGTTCGAATATTTGTTCGACTGAAAAATGAGAAATAGGCCAGGGTCGGGATCTTCTTTTGCTTGAGTTTAAAATTTGTTCAAGCGAGAGTCGAGGGTGGGGGGTTGTTTGCCTCACGCTTCGTTAGTCCGGGCTCTTTCAGCTTGCTGGAGCTCGTACTGATCACAGGCGAAAAGAGCCTTGTCAGAGTCGCTTCCCTTCCACTGATCTCAGCCAACCGGGCCTCTTTCTGATTCGCTGTCATTTTTGCGGCTCGCTACTAACTGGACTTGTTTAGATTGATGCACTTTCACTGTTCACTGGGAAAAGAGTTGAACTCAACTTCGTGGTAAATGTTGCGTAGGTCCATGAGTAGGACAATTTTTGCTTCGTTGTTGATCTAGCTAATCATCGAGGAAAGAGCTGAGTTTAAGCAAAGAAAAGCAAACGTTTTAGCCTTTTAGGGACTCTTTAGTGGGGGTGAAATAGACAAATCGTTCCCGACCACATCTACTCGCTGCTGAGGACCTCTGAAGCGGGCACGACGAGTGATAGGCGCCGTTGCCCTTGGCTTCAGCGGCGAACAGGTGCCCCTCCCCGGGTTTCCTCACACCGGCTCCCGAGGTCGTGGCAGCAAGGTCCCTATGTTCCGGCTTGGGCGGCTCGGGATCCTTGAAAGGATCGTTCGGTGTGGGATCAAACGCCAACCGTTTTCCTTCCACGATTTCTTTGTTGCGCTGCGCAGCAGCCTCTGGGTTCTCCTCTCGCCGATCCGGTCCTGGCACCCACTCGAGCTCGTCGTGCGTTCGCGCCTGGTTGTTCTCGCTTTTCACTTCTTCGTCGTCTTCCTCCTCCTCCTCACTTTGCTCGCCCTCGCTGTACTCACTATAGGCCTCTTTCTCTTCCTCCGAAGTCTCCTCTTCTGCGTCTTCCTCTTCTTCTTCTTCTTCTTCTTCTTCTTCTTCTTCTTCTTCTTCTTCTTCTTCTTCTACTTCTTCTTCTTCTTCTTCTCCCGCCGGCTCTTCTTCTGCTTCGCACTCTTCTTCCTCGTCCTCGGCCAATCGCGCCGCTGCTTCCCCGCCCTCTCTCCTCAATTCTCCTTCCGATTCCTCTTCGGCCTCCTCTTCTTCTCTCAGCGTTGCCCACTCAAACGTCGTTGGTTGTCGAAAGAAGCGGGGATTAGTCAGGCTGTGGATGTCCAGGTACTCGCTACGGGAAGGAAAACGGCCGTCCGCCCAACGCTCCTCGATACAAGCCGACCACTGGAGGCTCGGGGCGAGAGTCCTTGAGAGTGTATGTGGCACGGGTTCTTCGTCGCTCTGAGAGACAATGTCGAGGGGGAGTTCGTCGGCCAATCGTGCGATCACGATCGTAAGTTCGCGCACGATCTGTAATCGGTTTCCCCGATCCACTGCTCCAAAGATGAATCCCAGAAGATCTCCCGCCACGTTGGTCCTCCACGCCTGAATGACGAGCAACTCCACAATCTCCGACGCGGGTCTATGATCGCCTTCCCACGTCCAGTTCAGATCCACTCGTAGCATGCAAAACGAGAGCTCGACGAATTCTGTACGCCTTAGCCACCAACGGTCCGGATCAACGATGGGTACTGTCAATGGCTCCAGACGGAAGGAGAGACGAGGGTAGTGAGAGGACTGCCAGAAGATGGGTAAGAGGGAGGGAGGAGAGAACGTCGAGATCGGCGCGCGGCTCATCTGCGTGGCTGGAAGGGGGCAAGTTCTGGGAGGACGACAGGTGGCTCTCGTAGCGTCCTGCGCAGTGTGTTGACTTCGATGTCGTCGTTAGGATAGCACTCGTCATCGTGCCTTGTGAGCCGTCGATCCCAATCAGTGGCCAGATCGCGACCCCACCGGTGCAAGGTGCTTTTGATGGCAGCTTGTCGCGCCGGATCGAAGGCGGTGATGTCGCCACTGAAGACTTCCACGGTAGACACCTGGCTGATTCCCGGGGCCGCTCGGCGTTGGAACGCCGTTGCCTCGGCCAGCACCACTACCTGGGGATCACTCGTGAATCGGAACTCTGCCGCGCCGTATACACCCGCAGTGAGAAGAAGTGCGCAAGGCGCATGAAGTCGGGGCTGATCCGCGGATGATGTACTTGGCAGATGGCTGAGATCTCTCCCCGTGGCATCAACAACTGATTACTGAAAGCTCGCTCGATGGCGAGGTCTGGCCAGAGCGAGCAGACTACAGCGATCTATCTAACTCATGGCGATGGCGGGGGTGACGGGGTGGCAGAGAGGGAGCAAGAAAGGGAGGGAGATGGTGGAGAGTCCGATCCGTCGTCGTCGGCTTCCTCAGAAAGAGAGATCAAGGGAGAGGGAGACGGACAGAGGGAAGGAGGCGAAGATAGGACACGTGGCGTGTAATCGGACGAGCCGATCGACTGCCAGAGACTTCAGGGGCGAGGCGCACGGTGTCCACGCCGTTGGGGCCGAGCTCGATCACGCGATATCGCCCGAAGAATCATGGCGCTAGCTTACCCTGGCGAGCACATTTCCTCACCTGCACCACGTCCCCCAATTTGTACTGGGGCCGCGGACCCGCATTCCCATTTCGGGCTTCGTAACTCCGGACTTGTCGCCCTGGGCTAGTTCGGTCATATTCAGTCGCTTTCGGGCTAGCCTGGGCAGCGACCGTTCCATTAACTCTAGGTGCCGTTTGGCCTTGTCCCGAGCCGTGGCCCTGGTGGGCCGTCGGTTTAATGTAGTCTCATCTGGGAGGCTCGGTATCGAAAGGCAAGCGACACTATTGGTCCTTAATTGGAAGGGGCTTAGCCCCATTGATTCGTGGGGCGTTCCGCGATGGACCGCCAGGATGTGATCGACGATATCGGGCCAAGGTCTCGAATCTCGTGCCGCGATGTTTCGTCGCAACGCTGTCTTTATCACCTGGTTAGCATTTTCGACCAGCCCGTTGAACTGTGACACGTGAGGTGCAGTGTTCCGTATGGCGACGTCGTGTAGGACCAGACTCCTTAACACTTCTCCCCTGAATTCGGCCCCATTGTCCGTTAGGATTTCCTCCGTATCCTGATGCATCCCGAGGAAACGGTTGACATATCGCGCGATTTCCGTGGCTTGCCGCGTGCGACAAGGATACGCTTCGATCCGTTTCGAGAAATGGTCGACAAATACCAGTAGGACTGTATACTCACAACTATTAGGGCCAGGGGGGCACCATTATGTCGGTGGTGTCCATGCTCACTCTTTGAAATGACCGTTCAACAACCGTGGGCACTATCGATCTTGGCGGTTGAATCGGCATTTTATCAGCGGCACAGACCTGACAGTTGGCGACGATGTACTTCACATCGTCGCGGATATTGGACCAATACCACTCATTTTTATCAATAGCGGACTCTGTGATTCGTACGGCAAAATGAGCCGTAGTTTCCTCGTGGGCTGTCTTAACCCAGTCATACCGCATGAACGGATGCGGCACTACCATCCAAATCCCACTGCCATCCGTTTTCCGTTTTTCTAATCTACCCTCTACCCATCGATAATCCCGATCCCTTTCGTTGGCCCTCCTCCGATCTTCTTTGGTGAAATCCTGGAGGGGGTTACCTACTAGGGTGGCAATTAAGGCAATATCCGTCCATACTTCGGCCCTTCTAAACTTTCGGGTCTTTTCCAATCCTTCTGACGTGGCATCCAAAAATCAAGCCTCGGTAGGAATCTTGTCGGTCCGGCACAAGGGGCACAACCGTGGTCTTCTATCGTTTCTTTATTGGATGCACGAGCCATGGGCTCGTGCAACACACTGTCGGCAATCTATCCAATCCCCATACCCCTCCCCGTTAGGACGCATGGGGACCGAATATACACGGGAAATAGCTTCGCAAAAATAGCAAAATTTGTCGGGCAGGGAGAGGAAAGACGAAGAGGAAGGGGGAGAGAGAGGGGTAGCGGGGTTACCTCCATCACCCATCGTCGCCATTTTACTTCTTGCCACGTGGAAGAACTGCCACTTGTCCGTATTTCGGCTCGTTGGTCAAGTCCGGCTCCTTCCACAGTGTAATTTCCTCACCCTTTGGTACCTTGGCAGGCCGGTGGAGACGTGTCAGCCCGTCCGCGTTGCCGTGTCGCTCTCTCTTTCGATGGACGATATCGAAGTCGTATTCTTGTAATCGCACCGCCCAACGACCAATCATGCCCGTGTAGTTGGTGAGTTTCTTCACCGCCAGCAGAGGCTCGTGATCCATTACGAGGCGAACTTCTGTCTGTAGAGATACGGATGGAAGTGTTGGATTCCCCAAACTATTGCAAAGCACTCACCCTGAGGTGTGGAGTCGTTTCTTCGTTCGGCCGGTACGGTTCGTGACGCGTATTCGATGACGTGTTCGCGACCATCGTTCCCCTTCTGTGCTAAAATAGCGGAAATAGCTTCCGGTTGCCAGTCCGTGATGAGAATGAACTGTTTCGAGGGGTCCTGTCAAATCAAAATAAGGGCCATTGCCAGAGCGTCCTTGAGAGTTGCAAAAGCCTGCTAGCACTCCGCGTCCCAGCTGAGGGGCTGGTCCTTCCACAACAGATTCGTTAGTGGTCGTGCAATTGAGGCAAAGCCCTTGATGAAGCGCGGATAGTACGACGCGAGCCTCAAGAAGGCTTGAACCTGCGTCTGTGACGTGGGAACCGGGGCTTCCTTCACCACCGCAACTTTTCTCGAATCCGGCCGCAATCCCCCACGTGTCACAATGTAGCCTAAAAACGAAATTTCCGAGAGGAAAAATTCGCTTTTCTCGAGCGCAATCTTGAACCCAGCATCTCTCAGTGCGCCCAATGTCCACTCGATGTGTTGCGCGTACCCATGATAGTCTCTGAATAGACTAGGATGTCGTCCATGTACACGATCACACAGAAGTTGATCATCCTTTGCGTCAGCCGTGTCTTGTTGACGAAATTCTGGAACATCATGTTCATCGCTCGCTGGATCGTGGCAGGCGCATTGCAAATCCCCATTGGACACCGAACCCACTGCCACGTGCCCTCAAACAACACAAAGGCCGTTTTCAGTCGATCTTCTTCCCTTACCAGAATATGATGGAAGCCATGTCAAATATCAAACTTGCTGAAATAATTAGCGCACCCAATCGCATCCAACAAATCATCAATCCGGGGGAGGGGATACACATCTTTGATCGTGATTTCGTTCAGCTTTCGATAATCAATGCAAATACGAATCGCCCCGTTTTTCTTTGGTACTAATACTACAGGAAAGGACCAAGGTCCGGTAGCAGGTTCAATCCAACCACTGGCTTCGAACTCCCGAATTCGTCCGAGAGCCTTTTTGCGTTCAATCAGAGAATACCGCTAGGGTTTGCAATGAATCGGGGAGTGATTTCCTGTCTGAATTTCATGTTGGATTATTAACGACAACCCGATGTCTGTGTCTGACACACTAATCGCTCCTTGATATTCTGTTAGAATATCCGCGATCACCCGGTGGATCTCATCTGGCACATATTGTGGAACGTGCAGTTCAAAAAGTTGGTCCCAAATCCGAACGTCAATCTGTTTTGTGTTCGCCTGTTTTGTCAAGTCGGGTGGAGGCGCTGAGATGAATGAATGATCCAATCGCCAGGAGAACACGGTGGCCATCATCTGGGCAACTTCTTCCCGGATTGCCACGTGTCCTTCCGGGGTAATCCCGTCGCAAACATCTTGCTATGGCACTTCCTTGGTTGCAATCTTTATCCCCAACCCGTCTGTTTCTGCTTCAAAATGCCCAAGGGGTTCCAAAAAGCTTGCTTCCGCCCCCAAGCGTAGCAATCTCACTTCTTTAGCCATTAATAGTAAAGACCTAGGTAGTTCCGTAATGTCGCAATAATGTTTTTTATCGCTATACCTGGCGAGGAGAGGGGTGATCCCTTCGTACAGAGTTTGAGGGTGTTCCAAAGAGTCGACCATCCTCGAAATCTGCACGAGGGGCTCTCCCAAGATCATCGCCTTGGTCCTTTGAGTTTTTTGGCTGGTCAGTTGCATTGTTCTCGCTATCGTTTTGGGCGGCGGGTAATAAACACGTTGTCGTACCAATTTCAAGATTTTCGGATCATCTTCGTCACTGCTTTCGCAGGTTCGTCCCAGGAGATCATGCGGAGAGTCCCCGCCATCATCGGCGAAACCCGCGGAACCGCGTTAATAGTAGTGCGAAGGGTCAATCGCATGGGCACCGCGTAGGGTTTTCCTCCTGTATTTCGGAGGATGATCGATCGTCGTTCAAAGTCCAGGTTTGCTCGTAACGCCATAAGAGCAGGAAGTTCGAAAAGAACGTCGTACGTATTAACATCTAGTACTACGACATCCCCAAGCGCGTGTACTTTTCCTAATCGCAAGGCAACATTGGTCATTCTCCCACAATTTTAATCTTTTCCTCATCTGCCGAAACGAGCTGATCTTTCTCGGTGAGCATGATCAGGTCATTTTTCATACCAGCTCTTTCGACCAATCTTAGTGAGATAGTCAACACAGCTGCTCGTGAATCTATTATTGCGTTGTAAGGAATTCCCCAAATTTCAATATCACATTTCGCGGACTTCCACGGAATCGGTTTA